CCACGCCCAACTCCCCTGACTCCTCCTCCCCCTTTACTGTCAAACCAAACACACTCTCTGAATCCACAGGCGCACGCACACCTCTTCACACAACGCTACCCCACACACACGCAACCTCTAACAACACCTTCCTTCCTCCGCCCAAATACGCACACATATGTCCTACACCCACACAGTGTGGCCACGCCACCCCAGATCTACCCACACACCTGCCACACCCCTTTTGTCCTCTGCCGACAAAATCCAACACACAGATGCCCTTAACCCGCATATGTTGTCTACTCGTTTCCCAACAGCAATATAAATGCTCCCCCCTGACACGACTTTCAATTCATCCACAGTCAATACACCGTTACCGTTCTTCCCTTCATTCCAATGCTTCCCACTGCGTACCTCCTGTGTGAAACGCCATTCGCCACAAGTCATACCTGCGCCGCTTGCCGCTCTACATCTAACTGCCCGTCACCGCTACCCCAACTCTCCTATGCTCTTCACCTACATCGCCCCGTCCTAATCATCCACCTCTCACCCTCATCCTTCACATTGGGCTATCACGAATCATACGCTTGCTCGGCCCCCATCAATCACCATCCCATCCCATTCCTGCATCCGCCATTCCCACGTGCTCTGCTGCAAACACTATGTCCACGGCAAACCTGTCCCGCAAGCAACTAACCGCCACGGAGCAAACGTCCTCTAACCACCTATCCCACTTACCACAAACCTCTAACCCACACACGCAACCCACACCAAACACTCCCACGCTGTTCCCAACCATCCAATCACCACACCCACCCACGCCCAACTCCCCTGACTCCTCCTCCCCCTTCAACGCCAAAGCAGATGCCCTTGCGCATGCACACCTCTCCACACAACGGTACGCCACACACACCCAACCTCTAACAACACCTTTCTCCCTGCGCCACAATGTTTTGCACCCATGGCGGGCGTTCTCGCCTGCGCCGCACTACTCACACAAATGCCACACCCCTTGAGCCACTGGAGACAAAGTCGAACACACAGATGCTCTCACCCAGCATATCTTCTCTACTCGTTCCCCAACCACAAGATAACTGCTCGCGCCTCACACGACCTTCAATTCATCCACAGTCAATACACCGTTACCGTCCATCCCTTCCCTCCAGTGCTTCCCACTGCGCACCTCCTGCGTGCAAACCCATTCCCCACAAGTCATAGCCACGCCGATTGGCGCTCTACATCTAACTGCCCGTCAACGCTCCCCCAACTCTCCTATGCTCTTCACCTACCTCGCCCCGTCCTCATCATCCACCACTTGCCCTCATCCTTCACATTGTGCTAGCGCGAATCATACGCTTGCTCGACTCCCACCAATCACCATTCCGTCCCATTCCTGCATCCGCCATTCTCACGTGCTCTGCTGCAAACACTATGTCCACGGCAAACCCATGCCGCAAGCCACTAACCGCCACTCAACAATCGTCCTCTAACCACCTATCCCACTTACCACAAACCTCTAACCCACACACGCAACCCACACCAAACAGTTCCACGCTGTTCCCAAACATACAATCACCACCCCAATCCACGCCCAACTCCCCTGACTCCTCCTCCCCCCCAAGGCCAAATCCAACGCACTCTCTGAATCAACAACAGCACGCACACTTCTTCACACAACGCTACCCCACACACACCCAACCTCTAACAACACCTTTCTCCCTGCACCAAAACTCCCTGCACCCATGGCGTGCGCTCTCGCCTGCCCCGCACTGCTCACACAACTGCCACACGCCTTGCTCCACTGCCGACAAAGTCGAAAACACAGATGCCCTCACCCCGG